ACTACCCTATCTTAACTAATAAGTTTTTAACACAAGAAAATATTGAGCTGAGAGATAAAAACAACACTTTTATCTTAAGTCATTATAAAGATAAATTTGGAGGTATTATCAACACATACTACGAGTACCACTAGAAATAATAAAATAAAGAATATAATTTTAAAATAAAGATAATAAAATAAATGATGCTAAAAATATTATTGATAAATTTAAATATTAATTTGAGCAGTTGAATAAGAAATAATGAATATAATTTTTATTACAAGAAAAAGAAAATTAAATTCATCTACTAATGGGAGTTGTGGGCAAGATATGAACAACTTTAAGTTATGGATAATACAATAACATGAACAAGGAATCAAAAAAGAAGAAAAATATGTAAATAAATAATAATCTCAGTAGTAGATGTATATAAAATGATAAGATTTATTTGATCTTTGAGAATAGAATGTTTCTAAAATAATAATGAGATAAGTCATATTATATGAATAAGATACACGTATTTAAAATCGTTATAATAGATAAAACTAAAAAGGGAGGATGGATTCTTCTCTAATGGCTCAGGTATGGACTATGACCTTTTAGCCCGTTGTTGATATTTGTATTCTCTTAAAGTGTATGAGCCAATTGATTGAGCAACCGATGGGGTCGGTACATATGTGTCAATTAGAATGAAATAGATTTAGATAGGGTAAACATATACAGGATTATAATTGCACTATTTGGGATTACTATTTATACAAAATAAAGTGAATCACAAAAATCATAAGGTAAAATTCATTTAATTAAGAATTACCCGTAAGAACTCATCTTCTTTTAGTATATGTGCATGGGTAAAATGGATAAAATAAAACTTTTAAAACTTGTGGTCCTAAAAGCTTTGTGGGGCCGTGATAGTTGTATGAGTGTAAGAGTTTCTCATTATGGGTAAAATAAAAAATCTAAAGTTAAATTATTTCCAAATATAGAAATGTGTCATTCTTTTGGAACAGATTAATAAGAAATATACTTTATGTAAATTGAAAAGAAAGGAGTATTTATTTTTGAATCATATTGTATTTTTATTTGTTTGTATCACCGATTATATATGGGGTTATAATATTTAAGTTTATCCCAATAGTTATTCATATAATTTATTCTTTTTAATTTATAGAATATAGCAGGATCATAATATTATTCGCACATCGTGCGGGTACTAATACTAGTTGTACTATATAATATGTAGAAGAGCGAGAGAAGCATGAGAGGGTCGCCATGCCTGCTTGCTTTTCAAGGGCAATTTAGTCATTTCATGCGAAATCATTTTTTGAATAGTCTATTATATCCTTAAGATTGCCGTCGTCTCAGAATAGGATTATATGGTGATTTCTACCGACACAACCTGACATCACTGATTTTCTATGAAACTTAAATTCATTAAATCACACAGCCTTTTGAAAACTATTACCGTAGCACTTCCCTGACCACGTGGGCACCACGGTTCTTGCCATTTCAATTACTAAGCTCGCAACTTTTTGCTTTTCTCTAATGTTAAGGTTGTTTGAGGATTTGTTAAATCCAAATATTCAATAAGGAAATGCACATATTAATTATCTTAAACATAAAATTTAGAAATGTAAAGATTATGTATAAACCACAATACACATATTTTAAAATAGGATCAGAAGTGCTAAAAGTTTTTCCAGATATTGGACATCCCTGCTTAGACACGGGGGTATTTAAGTATTTTCACATACCTTCTGTGTTCCCGGCGCTTACACGTGTGCTGCATTTTGGTGAGTAAGCGGCTACGAGATACTTGTCGATGTTTTCTACGAAATTTCATCGGATTTTACTCCCAGCATCTCTCCTCCTCTGTATCTTCTATGGAATTTTCTCTGTGAGCCTTTGCTGGATTTCTCAATAACAACATGAGAATTTCTCCGTCGTTCTCCTTTACTCACTGGTATTTGATTAAAATTGGTAGGTGTTTAAATTAGGGATTTCTATTTTCAAAGTTATCTTTCTTCTTCTTTTTTTGGGTTCCATCTCATTAGGTTTTTTCTTTTTGAGATACCCATCTCACTGACTGATGAAATCTTTCATTTTCCGCCTCTGTCAGTGTAATTTCCTTACCAAAGAACTCAGCTTTTCTGATCTTTAATACACTTTTGGGTTGTGTTAAGCGGGTTCAAAACTTAATATATAGAGGTAAAAATCAGATTTTACCTTATATATTTCGCCACCCTAAATCCGCCCCTGAGCGTGATTGGCTGAATATGCTTCCATCTTGTTTTAAACATAAGCAGAATGTTTAGTTTGATTTAGTTAATTCCTAAAACATGGCGTCTATCTAATTAGTAATGACGATGTTTGATTTGAAAAGGATTCAGTGATTGAATTGTGATAGGTCTCATGTATTTAGCTTGAATTCATGTACGTATTTTTCTTCATTTAACACATATTGCTTTGCTTTGACGTTTACCAATGAAATATGAGTTTCATCCTTGTGTTTTGATAAAATCAAAGTTTGATATGGCTACAATGGGAGTTCTAGTTTGGCTTGGAGTTTTTTTTTTCCGAAATTTAAAGTTGGAAAGTAGACTCTTGAGTTTAAGAGTATAATAAATCGATACATTTCATAAAATAGTCTAGTAAGATACCTTATATTAGTTGCCAGTTGTCTTGTATTAGAATTTTAGTGTTCAACAGTTCTTAACAAAATTTAGTTCAACAGTCTTTAGCTTAACAATATTATGAATTTTATGAATGCATACTGTCTTAGATGCCAAGCTTCTTATATGTTGCTTCAAATGTCACTGTTCTGTTGTACACTAGTACGTTTCACCAGTAAAGTAGTATTCATTATTCTATATATTTCCCGTGGATATAAGCAATTGAAATGGGTTAATATCAGATATTATATTTTTCTTTGGCAGTTTACTCATCAGCATAATCCTTGCCTAGTTTTGTGGCTGCAAATGTTTGTCTCATGTTATTCCTTATTATTTTCCTATCTCATCGAGTGGTTCTCGTAGTAAACAAGCTAGTCGTAGAGTTTATCGATTTAAAATGAAGATTAGTAGGAAATACTTTTAGGCATGTTTTTAATCTATTATCGTGATTGTGTACACTGCATATGAACACTGCATATGACAGACATAGCAAGAGGAGTGGGCGAACTGCTTTTATTTGAAAATTTAAATATTACCAAGATTACCTTTTTGCTCTTATTGAATCTCTTTTGTAGCAGTAGCTACATGTTTTGCTGAGTTTCGGGATCCTATAGGAATCGAAGTACTGAGAAGTTTGCTTTTCTTTTGTCTCTCTGTAGTCGTAGTTGCCCATATATATAACCTTGATTCTTGTGGCACCATTATATAGGTGCGTGAAAGTGATAAGAGGATATTGGCTTCAGAAGTTTTACTCAGTATGCTTGGCCTATTGTTGTCCGGTAGTAGTAGTGTTCTGCAAGTACTAATTTAATTTGAGATTCTGGGCATGTGTTCTTCCTTTCCCGTAACCCAACCCTTTTAATACCAAGTTAATCTTCATCCTACTTTCTTGGTGAATGTTAGTCTTTCCTACCCTCAAAATTACTTTCAAATATGCATTTTTTTTCCTGTTGAAATGAATTTCAGTTTGATTTATACAAAACGTTATTAAAAAGTTGCCCTATCTTATGGAGTATGAGTTCTTCAAATATTACAAGTTCACTTGAAGTGCAAAATAACACTCTTTTAATCTTGTTAATCAATCCAATTCTTTTGTGGTGATGACAAAAGGAACCCATTGCGATCAAAGATAATGTTTGAATATGACAGACTGCAAATAAGCTAACGCATTTCTCTTGAAAGTTGAGAAGAGATCCTTTTTAACAGGATGATATCCATTGCAATTTAAAGGGTTTATACAACAAAGAATGATAAAGCAAGATAATCGGAACATTACAATTCAGGCTGCAAATAAGGCTAAAATAAGTATAACGTGCATCACAGTGAAGTTGTATTTTAGACAAACTAAGTACAAAGCAGAGAACAAAACTCGGCCAACTTGACCAGTGGGAGGTCCTTCTTCAATTCGGCTCTACCATAAGTGGAAGGAAATTCACAACTGTGATTAAAAGGTTATCTGACATAACGTCTAAGACAAGAGATAAGCTTTGCAATTTGGACCAAGGGACACCTCTGAGCTTATCTATCCAGTGGATAGAGAAGTGTTCCGTTGTTGGCTATAACTTTAAATTCTTGACACTCTTGGGCAGAAATAATTCAAGATATTGTAAATCAAAAACATCAAGTATGTTCCCTCGGATTTTTATGGTCAGGGATTGCAGGAAATATAAGAGCTCATAAGGTTTACCAACAAAGGAAGCCAGGGAGAAGTCACACAGTACAGAAGCAACTTTTTGTTGGTGTAAGCACAATGGACTTCCAATTATCTTGACAGTTCTGTTTTCTGAAAGTAATGATAATGAACGGAGTTAATAAATGGCAAGTGCAAAAGCTCAAAGTTCAGTTTTCTATACCCAGACAACCTAAGAAAGATCGTCGAAGGTCAATAAAATTTTTTTTAATAAAAGATTAGCAGATAAATGAATTGGCTCCCAAATATACTTATACACCACAAGTTACTTAAGCTAACAAATCTGCTTTTGGAAGTTGAAATGTAATGGCTCAAGTGAACTATTACAATTAAGTAAAATTCATTTATGCAGAGAGAATTCCAGGATAATAGCGTTTGAATCCATATAGAAGACCCCCTCGAATTGAGTTTCTCAAACTATATCTCTAATAACAAAAAACTTATACATCTCATAAAAATTTATGCACTCTTTTTATAAAACAACATAAGTTTGGGCCCGGGCTTAGCACGGGCCATTCTACACTAGTTTACTAATAATATATAGAAGAGCGAGAGAAGCAGCTGAAGGTCGTCATGTCTGCTTGCTGCTAAAGGGTATTGTGGTCATTTCGTATTGCTCCTAAATTTGACTGAAAGCTAACGCGTGTGATCAATATGACAGCTGGCGCATTACTGATTTATCTGCGGTACTTCAGTATGACAGATAAGTCACTCTCTATCTCTATCTAACCATCTTCTTTGTTTTTCTCTATCTAATTTGTATCTAATTTCAAAGTACAGAATTAAATTTGCTATGCTTTTTCCTCTCTTCGGTGAGAATTCCACAACCTTCTTCTTCGCTGTAAGAAAGAATTGGTGTTTGGCTTGGATTTTTGTGGTTCATTATTTGCTAAATTGACATAATCACATGGTTCACAGTCACCGCTGATCTTCGCTCAGAATTCCTTTGGCTTCTGCTTCTTCGTTGTAACAGAAAATTAGGGTTTTGTTTGGGGTTTTGTAGTTCAGTAGTTGTTCAATTGACATAATCATATGGCTGAAAGGTTAGTTTATTGTTCTATCTTTTTTCATTACATGTGACTGTGATTGTTTTATTTTTGGGTTCTTGCTGATTTGTTGCTCGAAATTAAATTGTAATTTTATGTTAGTTTTGTGAAATTCAAAAATACCTAGAAAAGAAATTGGGATTTCCTTCGACTATCTAACGTTTAGGCTCTTTATTGCTTTGGTAGCCACTTTGCTGCTATTCTGGAGATCATCCATTAATTGAAGTTCTCTGCACCTTCCTATTCAATATGGATTTTCCCAATAAGGAAAACTAACAAATACAGAGGGTGACAATTGGTTGTCCATTGAGTTGAGATTATGGGTTCAAAATTTAATATCAGTTGAAATTTTGGTGGTATTTGGGACCACGCATAGGGGTTTAAACCAGCAATGTTCAATGATATTTTTTATGTACTAATATGTAAACTTTTTTATGGATAATCTAAAAAATAAGTCTTTCTTATGTATAAGAGGAAAGAGTATTGATATGCTTCCTCTGAGATTTCTCTAACAAGCGAAGTTTTGTTTAGTTTATAAAAAGATTAGTGAGAAAGCTGAGATTTTAATAGTTTGGAGGTCATTATGTGCTCATTGTATTTTTTTATTGTTATCAAGAAATGTGAATATGAGCTTATTGTCTTTTTTGATTAAAAAAAATGTGAATTCTGAGCTAAGCTATATTCACTATTAGATTTGACAATCTATCCGGCGATAGAAACTGTGATGTTTAATTGTTAGCATGTAGGAAAGAGCTCATATGGAGAAATTAGGTAAATACACACATACAGAGAGAGAGACTTGGTCATCTTTAATCTTTTGGGCACTCCACAATTTTAGCATATATTTAACTGGAAGGCTACAATGTTACCATCTTTCAATAAACTTTGACAAGAACTAACTTGAAACATGAAGTCATGGAAAATCTTCATAGTTTTTCTTTTTCCTGAGAAGGTAACATGAATGTTCATGGCTTATTTGTGGAACTGATTATAAAATTGTAACGCTAAGTGTATTAGCATATAACTAATAAACACTGTAAGCACGTGATTTTTGCTTCACGGACAATCGCTCCAAAAGAAAACAAAAATAGTGACAAATGACTCCGCTGTACAATTTTTCGATTTTTCGTGGCATGTGCTGTTAGTCATTTGTGGTTCGGTCCATGTTGCATTTGATCTTATCAATCAAAATAGAACTTATGTCTGTCATGGTAATCAAACCGTAATTCGGTCGTTGAAAGAAAATTCAAAAAAAAATATATATATATGCATCGTTCGTTCTAGGTTGTGATTTAACTTACTTAAACATTTTAATTTGGTGGAAGTGTTACATTGTGTTTATTTTAATTTCATTTTTTCATTTTTATTTCATTTTTTTTAAAATTAGGGAAAACAAAAGAAAAGAAGTGATGAAAATCGGTTTGGGCCCAAGAAATAAAACAAAAATAGGCCCAAACCATCACACAAGTCCAGTCCAAACATGAGCTGCCCAGGCACCTCCCGAAACGACACTGCATCAGGCGTCTGATCTGAGCCGTTCAACCACACCCATCCAACGGTCCACATCCGCACCCGT